CCCCCACCCCCTGTGCCCCCCTTTCTCTCTGCCTGCTGTCTGAATACTCCAAGGACCCCATGGAGGTGGAGTCACGCACTGTTTGTCCCTTTGTGACCGGCTTGTTTCACTCAGGAGAATGTCCTCAAGGCTCATCCATGTGGTAGCAGGTGCCAGAATGTTCTTCTGTCTCAAGACTGGGTCACCTTTCATTGTACGGATGGGTCACATCTCTTTTTAAGGAAAAAAAAAATGTTTTTATTGATTGGAGAGAGAGAGAGAGAGAAACATCGATTGGTTGCCTCCTGCACACACCCCAACCAGGGACCAAACGCACAACCTGGCCACGTGCCCTGACCGGGAATCGAACCAGTGACCTTTCGGTGCACAGGCTGACGCTCAGTCATCTAATGACACCGGCCAGGGCAGGACAGGCCACATCTTGCTTATCCATCGGCGGACCCTTAGGTGGCTTCCACCTTTGGGCTGTTGCAAATAAGGCTGCCACAGACACGAGCATACAGATCTACTCGAGACCCTTCTCTTAGTTCTTCTGGGTGCCCACCCAGGCGTGGCACTGCTGGACCCCATGGTAATCCCAGGTTTGATTTTTGAGGAACTCGTTCCGTTTTCCACCTGCGCCGTTTTTGTTCCGTGAGCGGTGCCCAGGGCTCCGCTGCCCCGACATCCTGCCATGCGTGACCTCTTCTGCCTCGGACAGCAGCCCCCCAGTGGGCGTGGGTGGTGCACATCCACGCTTCGTGCCGCATGTTATTCCGACGGGGCGGGTCCCGAGGTTCCCTCGCCCGCACCCCCAGGCTCATCCCGCGGTTTCCAGCTGGGGCGACTGTGGCCCGGGCTGAGATGGGCGCCCACGTGCAAAGCCCGTGTTCTGTGGGGGCCGATTTCCCGCCTCCGATTCGCAGCAGCGAGCACCAGGATGGATGGTGTAAAGGCCCTGGGACACCGTCCCCACCTGCTTGGTGTGGACGTGGCGGCTCCTAGAGGCCGTCAACAGTGGGGTGGGCCGCGTTCACAGGTGGGGAACCCCAGGCCCCTCTCTGCACGGTTCCTTCCATCCCCCCTTCTTAAAGATCATATGTCCTTGGAGATGAACTTGTCTTCGTCTGACCCCACAGGCTGCAGGCCGAGGTCGACGAGGTCATCGGTTCTAAGAGGCACCTTGACTACGAGGACCTGGGGAGACTGCAGTACCTGTCCCAGGTGTGGGGCTGGGGCAGACACTTCTGGGCAGCTGTGGGTGGTTTATCGATTCAGGCTTGCAGCCTCCCTAACCCATTAGAATAGGTTCTCTAACCTTGCTGCTCATGGGAATCCCTGGGAAATTAAAAAATTCCCAAGCCCAGGCTGTCCCTGGACCAGTAACATCAGTCACTGGGGGCGGCCCTGAGCAGCAGCATTTTAAAGGCTCCCAGGTAATCCCAACATGCAGCCACGGTTGGAGACCGGCCCACAAGTGAGTGGAGCTCTGTTTGCACTTCCCACTCGGCCAGGGTTCCGCCGGCCTGAGCTTCCCATCAGGGGACAGGCCTAGCAGGAGACACAGCACAGCAGGAGGCCTTGCCTGAGCTGGGGGGGGTTGTCTCAGGGTGATGGGACCCCTGGTTCAGAAGGAGGCCTGGCTCCTGGTCCCGGCTCTGCTGCTGTGGCTTTACCAACCTCCCTTCTCTTTCTGGGCCTCAGTTTCTCCTGTGGAATGAGGGGGTGAACACAAAGGTGAAGTTGACTCCTCAGGGGCCCGGGACCCAGTCCTGGACTTGGGGGCACAGTCAGCACCATGGGTGGGAGCAGCGATGGGTCGGGAGCCTGTTCCATGGGATCTCCCGGCTTCTCTTGCTACCTCCCCATGTGGCTCTGCAGGTCCTCAAGGAGTCGCTGAGGCTGTACCCGCCCGCGTGGGGCACCTTTCGCCTGCTGGAGGAGGAGACCTTGATTGATGGGGTCAGAGTCCCCGGCAACACCCCACTCCTGGTGCGTGGGGGCCCTGCCTGCCTGCCTGCCTGCCTGCCCCGGGTGGTTGACGTGGGCTCTCCTCTGAGGTCGGGGGCACCTGTGGGCCCATTCTCAGCACTGGCTGCCCAGTGTGTCCCCTCTGAGCCTCCCCATAGCCCTGTGATGTCTCCCTCTCCCTCTCACACTGTCCAGTTAAGGTTACAGAGGATAAGTCTGGATGAGGTGCCCCATTCACAGCTGAGGATGCTGAGGCACAGAGAAGTTTCTAGTGGTTGGTTCGCTTGTTTTGTCTTGTGTAAGAAATCCTCCCCTATCCTGAGGTCGGCAGACTCACCGGCATTGTCTTCTAACAACTTTACGTTTTCCTTTGAAAGTCAGGTTCTTTCCTAGTTGGAATTGATTTGTGTCCGGTGTGAGGTAGGGGTGCATTCAGTGTGAGGTAGGGGTGCATTTGTCCGCTCAGGCTGCCGTGACGCAGCCCCACAGCCTGCGGGGCTCACGCGGCAGAGATGTATCCTCTCGCAGCTCAGGTGTCTGGAAGTCCGAGAGCAAGGGGTTGGCAGGGCTGGTTCCTCTGAGCCTGTCTCCTTGGCTTGCAGACCCCTCTTGTGTATGTCTGTGCCCTCAACTCTTCCTATAAGGATGCCAGGCCTATGGGATTAGAGCCCACCCTAGGACCTCATAGTAACTTAGTTACCTCCTTTAAGACCCTGTCTCCAAATAGTCACATTCTGAGGTTAGGACTTCAAGATACGAATTTTAGGGGGACACGATTCAGCCATAACAGGACCCATTTTTGTTTTTATTTATTTTATGAAGGAGAGTGTCGTGACTCCAACCCCATCGGCTGAGCACCCCTTCTCCAGGACTCAGTGGCACCTTCTTAGAGTGTACCAGAGCTTCATCCCTGTGGGGTCCTTTATGCTGTTTGCCTGCCCCCCCCTTTTTTTTTTAACACCCCTGCACCAGTACCACTTGTCGTAATGACCCTCTCGTCATAATGCCCTCCCATCCGGCAGGGGGGCCCTGTGGCTGGCTCTCAGTCCAGCTGTGCCACCCCGTGGGCCTTGAGTGGGCAGACCACAGCTCCACCCAGCCCTGCTCCCGCTGGCTGGGTCAGCTTGGGCGAGACCCTGAATCTCTGGCCTCAATGCCAGCCTTGTAAGATGGGGTTGGTGGTCCCTGGATTACAGTTTACTGAGAAGAGTTGCCAGGATGAGGTACATCAGGTGTCCGACAAAATCCCCTGGCACAGAGTGGGTGCCCTTTGCTGACCCGAGACCCCTCCACACCTTATGCTCCCACTCACTTCAGCCCCCGGTTCCAAGCCCTTCTCCACCTGTGGCTGCCCTGAACTCTCGAGACAGAGCCAGGGGAAGAGACCGTCAGGGAGATGCTGTGCAGGCTGAAGAGGAGGAGGCTGGCATCTGGGCCCCAGTTATGGGGCATGCGTGGCCCCTGGGGCCGGGCACGGAGCATCGGGCCCCAGTTATGGGGGCATGTGTGGGCCCTGGGGCCGGGCACGGAGCATCGGGCCCCAGTTATGGGGGCATGTGTGGGCCCTGGGGCCCCAGTTATGGGGACATGCGTGGCCCCTGGGGCCGGGCATGGAGCACCGGGCCTCAGTTATGGGGGCATGTGTGGGCCCTGGGGCCGGGCACAGAGCATCGGGCCCCAGTTATGGGGACATGCGTGGCCCCTGGGTCAGGGCATGGAGCATCGGGCCCCAGTTATGGGGACATGCGTGGCCCCTGGGTCAGGGTACGGAGCACCAGGTTGATGGGAGCCTCCGTCAGGGCGGGTGAAAGGCTAGTGGGATCTGTAGCCCCCACCCCCAAGCAAACCTGGTGTCAAAGAGAAACTTAATACCAGCTCTCGGGATTGAGAGAAAGAGGGCTTTGCAACAGATCTGAGTTTGAGTCTCAGTTTGGCCACTTACTGATCCAGTGACTTCAGACAAGTCACGAACCTCTCTGAGCCTCAGTTTCCTCATCTGTAAAATAGGGACCAGAGTCGCCCTCCCACAGGGCAGGCTAAGCGTGGGACATGCTGCACGCCAGCTGGTGGTCGGTAGCACATTGGCTGTCCCCTTTCCTCCTCTTAGAGACTTTCCAGGGGCCAGTGGGTAGGTGGGTAGAGGGATGGGTGAGTGGAGTAGAGCAGGGGTGGGGGCTTGGGGGACTGCTCTGCTCCGAGTCACCCCACTGGGTGGCCACAGCAGGTGGGGGAGGTGCGAGGGGAACGACTCTTGGAGGCAGAGACAAACGCGTCCTCTGCCTGGCAGTTCAGCACCTACGTCATGGGCCGGATGGACTCCTACTTTGAGGACCCACTGACCTTCAACCCGGATCGCTTCAGCCCCAAAGCACCCAAGTAAGTCCCTCGGAGTGCCCACGAGGGGAGGTCTGGTGGGTGGAAGACGGTCTCAGGGGCCTCTGGCTGAGCTGCCTGTGCCCGCTGAGCCCGAGTGGCCTTCCAGATCCATGTGAAGGGATGTGATCCCCGCCATGCCCCCTTTATGGGCGAGGAAATCACAGCTCAGAGAGGTTAGGTAACTTGCCCGAGGGTGTACAGCAGTAAGTGGCAAAGCTGGGGTTTGAGCCCAGCTCAGACTGGCTTTAAAGGCCATGCTGCTAACCAGTCCCTTATACTGGGAAGCCCTGTGACTTGGGCAAGGGACCCCACCTCCCTTGGCCTTGATGCTGCCATCTGAAAAACGGGAACACGGATGGCCCCCTCTGGAGGGTGCCGCGGAAGTGAATGCGTTAAAGCGCTGACACAGTGGTGGGGAGCGGGGCTCCAGGGACAGACCCCTGAGTCCCGGCCCAGACTGCCCGGAACTGGACACGTGAACGGCCCCATGAGTAAGTGACGTAGGACCGTGGGTAAGCTGCTTTGCCTCTCCAAGCCTCAGCTCCCCCTCCTGTAAAATGGGGATAGTCACAGCTCCTTCGGCAAGGCTCAGGAGGAAGATGCGCGAGAAAATGCTGAGCCGGGGCCGAGCAGAGGGGCTGCCGTGTTCAGATGCAGCCCGGCCTCGGCGTGTGGCCACCCCAGACCCTCTCTCCCCGCAGGCCGAGGTTCACCTACTTCCCCTTCTCTCTGGGCCCGCGCTCCTGCATTGGACAGCAGTTTGCTCAGGTAGGCGGCGGGGCGCAGAGGGCACTGAGGGGGGG